TTTAGTCAAAGTTAAACATGAAACATCAAAGTTCATTACAACTGGCCCTTCGAGGGCCACCATAACGCTCATGTGGCCCTCAGTGAAAATGAGTTTGACACCCCTGTTGTAGTGTATTCAGTTGTATAAATGTTAAAAATGATTTGCAAATCATTGTATTCTGTTTTAATTTATACTTTACACAATGTCCCAACGTCATTGGAGTTGGGTTTGTAAGGTTGAGATTTACATAGCCCTTCCTTTCTTGTTTTACACAATGAGTACCTTGAGTTTGTCCTGACTTAAATCATTCTGTACTGTAAGATATTTATTGATTTATATTAAATGTACTTCATATATACATTTTTATTCCTGAGATGTTTAGAATGTTAGAATGTCTGAGAGTCAAATCACCTGATGGGAGAAGGAACGCTCTTGTTCAATATAATTTCTGGGGGCGTGACTTGACTCTGATACAAAACTCATTATGACACGCAGCTCAGGGCCACTCACTTTGTCTCTAGGGAGCAATTTAAAAATGAAGCACTAGAAGCAGCTGAAACAACTCAAAGGACACACAAACACAATTAACATACAACCCCAATTCTAATGAAGCTGGGACATTGGGTAAAAATATAAATAAAAACAGAATACAATGATTTGCAAATCCTTTTCTACCTATATTCGATTGAATACACTACAAAGACAAGATATTCAAATAGATAAACTTTATTGTTTTTTGCAAATATTCACTCATTTTGAATTTGATTTGAACACATTACAAAAATGCTGAGGTGGGACAACAAAAGACTGGGAAAGTTGATGAAAGCTCAAAAAACACTTGTTTGGATCATTCCACAGGTGAGTGTCATGATATGGTGTAAAGGGAGCATCCCTGAAAGGCTCAATTGTTCACAAGGATGGGGCCAAGTGGTGAGATTCATCACTTTGTGAACAACTGTGTGAGCAAATAATCCAACAGATTAAGAACAACGTTTCTCAGTGTACATGTGCAAGGAGTTTTGGAATTTCATCATCTACAGTCTTGAAATGTCCTTTTTTTACATGCAGTCAGAATGGGTTTCATACACAATATAAAATTTTATTTTTTTTTTGCAATCAGTCATAACAGCTGGTAAAAGTGGATTAATAGGGCTAAGTGTAGCTAACAAATCTCTTTTCTGCTTGAAATTATTGTTGAAACACTTAATGCATGGGAATTAAGTGTTGGCCTGACAGAGGCTCTGTGTACGTTTGTTTTTTCTAGGTTGTTTTATGGTTGCCTTTGTGCTGCAAAATGACAATGTCAATTTATAGCAGGTTGGCTTTATTTTAAATTGGATGCTCATGTTGTTGGAATCCAGTCTGCAGCATTTTAATATATATTTATACACAGTGTTAAAGGTCTGTCAGCCCACCCTACAAATATCTCTACCAGCTGCCACTGCAAAACAGGACATATTTTGCATCCTCTGCAACAAAAAGGTCTAAAAATTTGCTACATTTGAAATTATTTTTAGGGACAAAACCTGAAACAAATTCAAAGTAGGGGTGGGCTGTCGTAACCACATGCCCACTCTATGGGACACAACCCACAGTTTGAGAATGGCTTTGGGGGCAGCTGTGGTGTAGTCCAGGGGTTCTTAACCTTTTTGACCTCGGGGCCCAATTTGTTGAACATAAAGTGACACGAGGCCCAGTCAGACATTACCATTGTATGGATCAAAATGATAATTATTATAAATCTTGGTTTCATTTTTATTGTATTTACATCATAACTAAACTATCATAACTAACATAACTCAATCATGTCAAATAATCACAAGACATGATTATAACAAACATTTTTATATTGTAACCTGTCCATAACAATTATTTGAACAAATACAAAGGTCAGTCAACAGACCACTCAGGCTTTTCAAAACAAAAATATGTATTTTTTAACATAAAAAACAAAAATAGACAACTCAAAAAATAAAATTGTGGTCTTAAAATAAATAAATTAAAAATGTTTAATGTAAATATTTCAAATAAAAAACCTGTAAAAATAAATTTGATAAAGTACAAATGAAAATATAGCCTTTTTAAACTTTTGCAACCAGAAGCTGCTCTTCATATTAGTGACAAACAATAACAGTAAAAACAGCTTTTTGACAAGTTTAAAATTTCTTTAAAATACATACAAATTTTTAAAAAATAAATTACTAAAATTTATTTAAAATGAAAATTAAAATATAGATGTATCTGCAACTGTATTTGATAATGTTTTGAACTTTTAAAATATTACATGGTAAAAACAGAAGCTGCTCTTCATATTAGTGACAAACTTTGGTGTTTTTTGATGAGTTGCCTTCAGTTTTGGTTCTACTTTTCAGTTAAAATAAGTTTCCATTTTCGGGAGGTATCTAAGTTTCCTCTTCTTCATATTAAGAAGAAAAAGAGGCGGAGTGGTTAGGGGAGTCGTCCTGGAACCGGAAGGTCGCTGGTTCAATCCCCCTCCCAGCCGTCTCAGTCGTTGTGTCCTTGGGCAAGACACTTCACCCACCTTGCCTACTGATGGTGGTCAGAGGGTCTGTTGGAGCTGGTGCATGGCAGCCCCACCTCTGTCAGTGTGCCCCAGGGCAGCTGTGGCTACAGTGTAGTTTGCCATCATCAGTGTGTGAATGTGTGAATGTCTGTTAGTGTGAAGCGCTTTGGGGTCCGGAGGGACTTGGAAAGCGCTCTATAGGATGAGTACCATTTACCACCATTTACCATTACCAAAAACGTTGTTAAACATCTGAGTGGTGCACTACCGCTACTAGTGGTGAGAAAGTGTATTGCACCATGTTTAAAATTAATGTGGTCCTACGGCCCTCTGAGGCCCAAAGTTAAAAACTGTGGTTCTTTTGAGGCTCTCAAGGGGTCGCTCACGGCCCACAATTGGGCCGCGGCCCATCGGTTAAGAATCTCTGGTGTAGAGCAGCCGACTTGGGACCAGAAAGTCACAGCATTGACTCCCCGCCATGCCCACATGTCGTGGTGTCCTTGAGCAAGACCCCCAACTGCTCCCCGGGCGTTCACATAGCTGCCCACTGCTCCACTTGGGTGTTTCTCATGTGTGATGGGTCAAATGCAGAGCACAAATTTCATCCTTGCATGGGAACATGCATTGATGACAAATAAAGCACTTTTACCTTACCTCTAGTTTAAGAAGAGCTTAAATTGTTTTGAGGTGACAGAATACTTTTATTTCTCTCAGAGTGCACTTGACAAACTGCTCAGGAGTTACTATCATAATAATGTATGTACATTGTTATATAGCACATGTGTATAGTGTGTTTTTGTGTTTTTTTTCTATTATTCATCTTTATTCTTTCTCACCCTCTCCTGTATTGAACTGCAGTAATATGCAAATCTCCCTATCTTATCTTATTTTATCTTATTTTATCCAATCTTATCTTATCTTACCTGATCTGATCTCATCTCATCTCATCTCATCTCATCTCATCTCATCTCATCTCAT